TATGAGAATAGTTTTTAAAAGCTCAACACAGTATACAACATCCATTTCCGTTTTTGCAAATTACTAAGCATAAAAGTTTGATAAACAAGTTTACAAATAGGATTGGTCAAATGTATCAGCCAAACTGTACTTACGGTTTCTGTCGGCCACTTTTTCAGGTAAAACAAACGAAGCATAGAGGATGATGTTCCAAAAATGTTCAACTTTCATCTACTGAACAGTTAGAGAACTGTAAAAGATGTGAACATCAATGAATCTGCAATAAGTTTTATGATCAAAAAGAAAATATATGATCAATTTTTAAACTATAGTTCCTTATAGAGAAAATTTTTATAAAATTCTCTACAATTAATTTATTCCAAAATATTTCTTGACAAATCGTTTATAGAACTCATAGTAAATTATCTTAAAGCGATGTTACTTTTAAGCATTTAGATATTTTTTTGCATCTATAAAGACTTTGTCAAAAAGCAAAAAGATGAAATAAATTTTTTGAACAAAACGATAGCCGTTTATTTGGTTTATTGATATTACACAAAGACTTTTAATAAAATAATAACATTAAAAATAAACATTTGTAAAAGTAATATAGAAGTCTTTTTCTAGCGGTAATTGATTATAAGTAGTTTTAACAACCAACATTTATAGCATAAAAAACATTTTGCTTTCATCATTAGCAATTACTGCAATTAGCACTTATCAGCAGTATTTGTACCAATCTATTTAAAGTCTGTATTTCAATCAATTCAAAAACCAAATTATAGTTTTTCAGAAGCCTAGAAATATCAACAACAACGACAAAAAAAAAAGGATACAAGAATAGTGGATGTAGAGAATAACGAAATGTCAAACAGTGTTATACATCAATTAAACATTCATTGCTTATTACACCACATAAAATACAGTGATGTCAAAAAGTGCAAAAAGAAGCAAAACCATTTCTGCTAACAACAACGACTTTACTTTACCCAACCAAATACAATAAGCCGATAAAACTGATCAGACTTTGTTCAGCCATAACGGTTTAACCCAACATTAACAACAGTAAAATTTTGTGAAATGAAAAATTTCCCTTTGTTTTTAATGACGGAAAAACACTGTATAAGCAAGAAATAATTTTTGTTTCCATCAACTAACAACAACAATCGACTCTAAATCTTTTGTCAACCAAAAAATTTTATGCACAATAAATAGATTAGCTGTTAGCTTTTAGTCTTGCTCCTTTTTGCTTTTTTTTTTTTTTGCTTTCAACCTTTCTTACAACAGCATACAACAGATGACTGGTAACCGTCATCGGCTATGCAATACCCATTGATGGTCGACTAAAGAAGCCTTGTCAATACAATAAGTTTTGATGAATTTTTTCTGTCTTCCTTCGTCTGTATCTTCTTTTTCTTTTTTTTTTTTTTTTTT